AGAAGTCCACCAGATGGCCGGGCGCGGTGGCTCAAGCCTGTAATCCCAGCACTTTGGGAGGCCGAGGTGGGTGGATCACGAGGTCAAGAGATCGAGACCATCCTGGTCAACATGGTGAAACCATGTCTCTACTAAAACTACAAAAAATTAGCTGGGCATGGTGGCGCGTGCCTGTAATCCCAGCTACTCAGGAGGCTGAGGCAGGAGAATTGCCTGAACCCAGGAGGCGGAGGTTGCGGTGAGCCGAGATCGCGCCATTTTTTTTTTTTTTTTTTTTTTCAAGAGCGAAACTCCGTCTAAAAAAAAAAAAAAAAAAAAAAAAAGTCCACCAGAGGCGCGCTGGACACCAAGGGCTTCCCGTCTCCGCGGGCCGCGCTGGGCAGTACGGAAGCCCCGTTAAACATGGCCCCCTCCAGCGGCGCCCCGGCCCGCGCCGCCAACGGCCCCGTGCTCCCAGCAGCTGCTCCAGCCTCAGTTCCCCGTGGTGTCCCCACAGGGCTGGCCTTGTTCTCCGTGGCGATGCTGGCGGGCAGCGTGCCGGGAGCCGACATTGGCGCCGCCTCGAGGTCGCCGCCGGAGCCGGTGCAGCTCATCCCGCCGGTGGGCGAGGCGGCGAACAGAGCCGCTTCCGCTTCCGGTCCCGCTCGCGCTTCGCACACCCCCGGGGTGACGTCACGCACCCGCGACGCGCGACGCCTGTCCTGTTTGTTTTTGAGACAAGTCTCAGGGTCTGTCTCGTAGGCTGCAGTGCAGTGGCGTGGTCTCGGCTCACTGCAACCTCCGCCTCCAGGGTTCAAGCCCTTCTCCTGCCTCAGCCTCCCGAGCAGCTGGGATTACTTTCCGGGGTGTTTTTGTTGCTGTTATTGTTTTCAAACTCAGTCTCCTTCTGTTGCCCAGGCTGGAGTGCAGTGGCGTGATCTTGGCTTACTACAACCTCCACTTCCTGGGTTCAAGCGATTCTTTCTTCTTTTTTTTTTTTTTTTTAATTGCATTTTAGGTTTTTGAGGTACATGTGAAGAACATGCAAAATTGTTGCACAGGTACCCAAGCGATTCTTATGCCTCAACCTCCCGGGTAGCTGGGACTACGAGCGTGCGCCACCACACCCAGCCAATGTCTGTAATTTTAGTAGAGACAGGATTTCACCATATTGGCCAGGCTGGTCTCCAACTCCTGACTTCAGGTGATCCGCCCGCCTCAGCCTCCCAAAATGCCGGGGTTATAGACGTTAGCCACTGTGCCGGGCTTTTTCCTTTCTTTCTTTTTCTTTTTTTTTTTTTTTTGAGACGGAGTCTCGCTCTGTGGCCCAGGCTGGAGTGCCTCACTGCAACGTCCGTTTCCCTGGTTCAAGCGATTCTCCTGCCTCAACCTCCCAAGTAGCTGGGACTACGGGCGCGCGCCACCATACCCAGCTAATTTTTGTATTTTTAGTAGAGACGTGGTTTCACCATGTTAGCCAGGATAGTCTCGATTTCCTGAACTCGTGATCCACCCGCCTCAGCCTCCCAAAGTGCTGGGATTACAGGCCTGAGCCACCGCGCCCGGCCGTTCCTTGTTGTTTTTAAAAAATTACAGCTGATCCGATGGATAAAAAGAGGAAATCAATGAGGCTGGAGAGAAAAGGGCGAAGGGCTGAGGGGACGCCTGTGAGTTGACGAGAAGGACCAGGAGCTGGCAAACCAAAGAGGTGGCTCAGGCAGCCAGTGTCCCATGGAAAGGGGTCAACTTGGAAGTGGCTCCTTCAGCCCCCAATGAGCCTTCAGATGAGGCAGCCCCGGCGACAGCTTGACTGCAACCTCGTGAGACACTCAAAGCCAGAAACATCCAGATATCCTGCTCCCCGACTCCCGACCCACAGGAAAGGTATCTTCTTTCCTCTGTCTCTGGTGGTTTTCTTATCCTTTTTTTTTTCTTTTTTTTTATTCTTTGATTTATTGACATGTTTTTTTGACATGGAGCCTAGCTCTGTCCGCCAGGCTGGAGTGCAGTGGTGCAATCTCAGCTCACTGCAACCTCCGCCTCCCAGGTTCAAGCAATTCTCCTGCATCAGCCTCCTGAGTAGGTGGGATTACAGGTGCCTGCCACCACACCTGGCTAATTTTTGTATTTTTATTTTTATTTATTTTTTTAGTAGAGACGGGATTTCACTGTGTTGGCCAGGCTGGTCTTAAACTACTGACCATGATCTGCCCACCTCATCCTCCCAAAGCGCTGAGATTACAGGTGTGAGCCACCACACCTAGTCACTTATTTATTTTGTTTTTTAAGAGATGGGGTCAGCTGGGCGTGGTGGCTCATGCCTGCAAGCCTACCACTTTGGGAGGCTGAGGCGGGCAGATCATGAGGTCAGGAGTTTGAGACCAGCCTGGCCAACACAGTGAAACCCCGTCTCTACTAAAAATTTTTTTAAAAATTAGCCGGGTGTGGTTGTGTGCGCCTGTAGCCCCAGCTACTCAGGAGGTGGAGGCAGGAGAATTCGCTGGAACCCAGGAAGCAGAGGTTGCAGTGAGCCAAGATCGCACCACTGCACTCCAGTTTGGGTGACAGAGCAAGACGCCATCTCAAAAAAAAAAAAAGATGGGGTGTTACTATGATGCCCACGCTGGTCCAATACTCCTGGACATAAGCAATCCTGGCTTGGCATCCAGAGTAGCTGGGACTGTAGCCATGTGCCACTGCGCTCAGGTCTAGTTTTCTGTCTCTTAAAAGGACACTGGTTATTGGATTTAGGGTCTACCCTAAATCCAGGATGATCTCATCTTGAGATCGTTAAGAACACCTGCAAAGACTCTCTTTCCAAATAAGGTCACATTCATGGGTACCAGGGGTTACCACCCGGACAGGTCTTTTGGGGTGACACGGTTCGACCCATGTACAGCTGTTTGAAGCTGCCGAGTCTGGGGTAACTTGTTGCACAGCCGTAAGGATCTTAGGTAAGTCTTGGCTTGCGGAACCAACAGTTCATCAGCCAGCATGAGCAGGCGGAAGGAGAAGCAGCATGCACGGCCCAGGTGCAGGCGGGCAGGCACGGCTCTCGGTGGGGGCGTAGGCAAGGTCTTTTTGGTTTTCTCACTGAGGCCGAAAACAAGGTCATCAGCCCAGTGAGGGTGAGGGAGGTTGGAGGTCAACAAAAAAATGACAGAGGGAACAGATGGCAAGAGAGAGAACCACACAGACCCATAGTAGAATGGATGCTGGATGCTCAGGAGGCTGAGGTGGGAGGATCACTTGAGCCTGGGAGGCAGAAGTTGCAGTGAGCTTTGATCAAGCCAGTGCTCTCCACGCTGGGCAACAGAGCAACACTCTTGTCTCTAAAACCTAAGTTGGCCAGGCGCAGTGGCTGCCGTCTGTAATCTCAGCACTTTGGGAAACTGAGGAGAGCAGATCACTTGAGGCCAGGAGTTCAAGACCAGCCTGGCCAACATGGCGAAACCCAGCCTCTACTAAAAGTATATAAATTAGCCAGACATGGTGGCACGCACCTGTAATCTCAGCTATTCAGGAGGGTAGGGCACAAGAATCGCTTAAACCTGGGAGGTGGAGGTTGCAGTGAGCTGAGATGGCACTCCTGCACTCCACTGTGGGTGACAGAGTGAGACTTTGTCTCAAAACAGAACAAAAAAAAATCATATTGAGACCCCATCTCTACAGAAAATACAAAAATTGGTCAGGCATTATGGGGAAAACCTGAAGTCCCAACTACTTGGGAGGCCAAGACAGGAGGATCGCTTGAGCCCACGAGGTCAAGGCTACATTGATCAGCCACTACACTCCTGCCTGGGCGCCAGAGCAAGAGCCTCTCCGCTTAAAAAAAAAAAAAAGGCAGGCCAGTCGCACTGGCCCGCGCCTGTAATCCCAGCACTTTGGGAGGCCGAGGTGGGCAGATCATGAGGTCAAGTGTTAGAGACCAGCCTGGCCAACATGGTGAAACGTCGTCTCTACTAAGAATACAAAAATTAGCTGGGTGTGGTGACATGTGCCTGTAATCCCAAGTACTCAGGAGGCTGAGGCAGGAGAATCCCTTGAACCTGGGAGGCAGAGGTTGCAGTGAGCCGAGATCACGCCACTGCACTTCAGCCTGGGCGATAAGAGCGAAACTCCGTCTCAAAAACAAAATAAATAAATAAATAAAAATAAAACCTATAATCAAACATGTGACTTTCAGGCCATTTCTCAACCTCTGCACTCATTTGGGGCTGGATCGTTCTCTGTTGTAGGGACCAAGTGCTGTAGGGTGTCTTCCAGCATCCTTGGCCTCCTCCCGACTTCCTGACTGGATGCCCCCTGCTCACGCCACACCCAACCCGTGACAGCCAAAACTGACGCCTGGGGCGGGACCCAGCGCCTAGTGGAGAAATGGCGCTCAGCCGACGGTCGGAAACAGCAGCGGGGAAATGGCGCTCAGCGGACGGTCATTTCCCATCGTCTTGCCTCCTGCCTTCTGGTTTTGGTCTCTCTGGCTGCAGACCAGCAGCTGTGCACCTGTGGTTCTACTGCTGTGCCCACTTTCTGGAGAGGTAAGTGGGCTGTCCCCGCCACACACGGAGCAGCTGCGGGAGCCGGCAGGGGACGCCACGGCTGGGCTCTCAGCTGCACCGCAGCACCCCTTCCTCGGTACCCACAACAGGAGCAGGGGGAAGATGGGGGTCTGAGAAGGGGGCTGGGCTGGAGGGCGGGTTCCCCAGAGCCCCCTTGTAGGGAGTTGACAGGGCAGATGTGACTGGGTAACTGCCTGTGGCTGACGGTGGCAGGCCTGCCCCCGTTTCATGTGCAGTTTCATGGCTCAGTGTCAGCGGCAGGACAGATCCTAGAGCAGTGGCTACAGATACAACCCCCCCACCGCCCCAACACCACACACTCTCGGGGAGTGTTCCCTGAGAGCGCCCACCCCTCTGTCCCTCCCACACTCCCCTCACACCATACACACGGAGGAATCACTGCTTGGCAAAAATAATTTAATACTCGATCTGGGCAGCACTCTGCGGTGTCGTTGTCCCTCCCTGGGGGAGTCAGAGACCCCCAGACCCTGTGCCCCATTCCTAGTGAAGATGGAGCGACTGTAACTAACGCCAGCCTCTTCCAAGAGCCCCAGCTCTGCCCCTGCCTTCCCTCAAAATCCTCCCTCCTAAGACACCCTGTCCTGAGCCTGGCATCTCAGCCTCCCGCAGTCACCTCTGAGCCTGGAAACTTCCATGCTACAGCCCTGCACTAGGACCCTGGGAGCTGCCAGGGGATTCAGGGAGTCACAGTGCAAAGGCAGCCCCTCAGTCCCAGATGGAGGGGAGGGGACAGCAGCCCTGCGCCCAGGAAGACACGTGATGACACCCGATTCACACACACCCGGTTTAGACACCAAAGCCCTCCAAGCCCTCCGAGGAGGAGCGGCCCTCAAGAGTCCTCGGGGAGCCCAGGGTGGGGGCAGGGGCCTAGGAGGGGGCCCCACGCAGCTGCTCCAGGCCGTCGGCGTACTGGAAGGCCAGCCCAGTCTCATGCTCGTACATGTCCAGAGCCACCTCGCAGCTCTCCCGCACCACTCGCTCAGGGTCGCCCGCGTGGGCCTGCAGTGCGGCCAGGCAGGAGGGCCGGGCAATGGCGCCCAGGGCCTCCGCGCACTCGTGCCGCACCATGGGGTTCTCGGCGTGGCGGGCCAGGGCAGCTGCCAGTTGGGGCACCGCCGCCTCATGCTGCAGCTGTCCCAGGACATAGCCGACCTCATGGCGGAAAAGGGCGCTCCCACAGCGCAGGCCTGCAGGGGAGAGGAGTGGGAAGGAGAGCTCTTTTCGTTAAGATGTGGGGTCTTGCTATGTTGCCCAGGCAGGTCTCCAACTCCTACCCTGGCTGCCCAAAGTGCTGGGACTACAGGTGTGAGCCACCATGCCCAACCTGGGGTGGTCTGTCTGAGGACACCCCCTGCCCCTAGACCCAGTGATCAGGGCTGCCCAGGGGAACTGACCGGAGCTATGGGGGCAGACAGGAACACCTGCACGGGTAACAGGCCCCATGGGAAAGACTTGGGGCCGGGCCCGGCACGTTCACTGGGGCAGTCCGCAGCCCCGTGGCACAGATGCCATCACTGGTCTTCCCAGGGAGGCACCACCCAGGACCCCACCCCAGGAACCCCTCCTCACCCTCAGCCAGCGCCAGGGCGGCCGCCTCGCCTCCTGCATTACGCAGGGCGAACATGGCGCGGTATCGCTCAAACAGCGGCCGGGACTCATCCAGCAGCGCCTCCCGCAGGCGCCCCACGTCACGCTCCTCGGCTGGTGGGGCGGGGTCCACGGAGAGGTAAGGTCCTGCCGCTGGCTCCCCGCCATGCTGCTGCAGCCACTCCAGCCTACGCACAGCCAGCTGGCAGGTCTCGGCCACCTGCGGGGAGGGGGCACGTGAACAGCGGTAGGTCCTGGGGAGGCTGCAGGGGCCCTTTGGTCCCCCGCAACCCTCCCATGGCAGCTTAGCAGGAGAGAGAGATCACTTCGGGCAGGAAGTAAGCCAGCAGGGGTGGCTGACTTGCCAGTGACCAGGGAAGGCTGGAGGGGCTGGGGAGGACCTCAGGGAGGAGGTGATGTGGAGGCAGAGACTAGAACCAGCTGAGGGAGGGAGTCAGGTGGAGACCCGGGGATGGGGAAGCAGCTGGCGCAAAGGCCCTGAGGTAGGACCCTGTGGGAGGGGTTAGGGCCGAGGGGACAGGCAGCGGCCAGGCCTAACTAGGGAAGGCCTTCGGCCACAGTGAGGACTCAGAATTTTGTCCTAAAGGTGATGAGACATCGTGAGAGCTTGAAGCACAGGACAGAGGAGCAGAATTGTGTCACACATGCCTCTGCTGCCCGGGAGGAGGAGAGACCACGGGTCGGGGTAGGATGTGGATGAGAGGCGGAGGGGAGAAAAGAACACGCGTGTCCACACGAACACGTGCACACCCACATCCGGAGCGGCACGACTCACAACAGCCAAAAAGCAGAGGCAACCCAAGCATCCAGCCACGGTGAGTGGATCGACACAGCGTGGGCCGTCCACACCACGGAACGTGACTCAGCCACGAAAAGGAACAATGGGGCCGGATGCAGTGGCTCATGCCCATAATCCCAGCAGTTGGGGAGACTGAGGTAGAAGGATCACCTGCACCCAGGAATTCCAGACAGCCTGGGCGACAGAGCGGGTCCTCATCTCTATAAAGAAAAAAAAATGAAACAAATTTTTTATTTTATTCTTTTTTTCTTTACAGAGATGAGGTCCCGCTCTGTCGCCCAGGCTGGAGTGCAATGGCGAGATCTTGGCTCACTGCAACCTCCACCTTCCAGGTACAAGCAATTCTGCCTCGGCCTCCTCAGTAGCTGGAATTACAGGCACTCGCCACCGTGCCTGGCTAATTTGTTATTTTTAGTAGAGGCGGGCTATCGCTGTTTTGGCCACACGAGTCTCAAACTCCTGACCTCAGGTGATCCACCTGCCTCTGCCTCCCAAGGTGCTGGGATTACAGGTGTCAGCCACAGCACCTGGCAATAAAGCTGTTACTTTAAGAAACGAGGAGAAATGTCGGAAGGCAGGAGACCCCTGAAGCGGTCTGGTGGGCTAGTGCCAGGCATCGGAGGTAGAGATCACTGGGTGGGTTCCGAGGGGTCTTGGCAGAGGGGCTGGACGTGGGGGTTTAGAGAAAGGGGTTCAGGCCGGCTCAGGGGCTCAAGGCCCGGGATGGAAGTGCGTGCGCAGAGCTGGTTGTCACCGTTTTGCCAAATGGGCCACAGCAAGTGTCCATCTGGGTTGTCGCCCTGGCCTCCATCCCTGGGGCATTCTTGGCCAAGTGGTCGCCCTGGCAACCAGAGATGGGGAGGGTGTGAGGTTGCTCCAGGCCATGGCTGGGGCAGGGCGGGGCTTCCCAGGGACCCGAGGCAGGCAGGGAGACAAGGGCGTGGTTACCTCGATGACGGGGTCCGACGAATACGCCTTCAGGAGCTCCAGAACTTGCGGGTCCCCGATGGCCCCCAGGGCCTCCCCTGGGAAGAAGCCGCCAGAGAGGTCACGTTGGTGGGCTGGATGTCGTGGCGGGATGTGTGGGAAATGCCCAGCTACCTGTGGGACCAGAGGACACCCCTCCCACAGCTCTGCCCCTGTGGGGAAGCCCCGCCTCTGGCCATGGCTGATTGGAGCAGCAGTGGGTACAGGCTCCCCGCTGGACCAATCAGCATCCCCTCCCCGGCGCGAGGCAGTGCCTGGAACCGCACCAGGCTGCTGCTCAGGGCAAAACACACCCTATCTGGCCCCGCGCCATGAGATGGGGACACAGTATGTCCCTACAACTCGGGGTCACAGCTGACAAGCAGCTCCAACAACCCAGGAGGTCGGGGTTGCAGTGAGCTATGATCACACCACTGTACTCCAGCATGGGCGACAGAGTGAAACCCTGTCTCAAAAAACAAAAAGCCGGAAACAGGCCAGGGGTGGCCGGGCACGGTGGCTCACGCCTATAATCCCAGCACTTTGGGAGGCTGAGGCGGGTGGATCACCTGAGGTCGGAAGTTTGAGATCGGCCTGACCAACGTGGAGAAATCCCGTGTCTACTAAAAATACAAAATAAAAAAAATCATCCAGACATGGTGGCATGTGCCTGTAGTCCCAGCTACTCTGGGGGCTGAGGCAGGAGAACTGCTTGAACCCAGGGGGGCGGAGGTTGCTGTGAGCCAAGATCGCACCATTGCACTCCAGCCTAGGCAACAGGAGCAAAACTGTCTCAAAAAACAACAAAAAAACCAGGCCAGGGGTGCCAGCTGGAGACTCCAGAGTTCAGGGCCACTGAGGGTACACTTGGGTGGGTTCGGATGCAGGCACAAGCGCAGGCGTAGCACGCCCAGGTCACAGCAAAGCTCTCTGCAGAGCCCTGGGTGCCGAGGTTCCTTGGATTTTCTCAGAATCAAGCTCAAGGGCTCTGCCTGTGGGGCAGCTGAGCGGGTGGCTTTTACCTTTCCTGAAGGTCACAGTTGGCATCTGGGCACCTGCCTGGCAGGCTCCCTCCGCCGGAAAAAGTCTTGCGTGCACCAAAACATGCTCTGTGTCAGGCACCTCCCACACACTAATTGCAAATGAGCTTGCTGGTTACAGAAACACAGTCCCCATGGCACAGACGCACCTCCTGTCTGACTCGTTGGTCTCCTTTGCTGTCTAGGTCCCTTACTAGAACAGTCCATTTTTTGAGACAGGGTCTTGCTCTGTTGCCCAGGTTCTAGGGCAGTGGCACGATCATGGCTCAGTGCAGCCTCAACCTCCCTGGCTCAAGTAATCCTCCTGCCTCAGCCTCCCGAGTAGCTGGGACCACAGGCGTGAGCCACGGTGCCCGGCCTGTATCTGTGTTGTCACTGTTTTGTCTCTTACATACATGACAGAGCCTGGCATACAGTAGGTGCACACTAAATGTGTGTCCAATGAGTGGAGTAAATCTAATATACATTAGGGGTTGGGGATCTACAGCTTGTCACCTGTTTGTTTTCATATGAGTGAAGAATGCTTTTGGAACTTTTAATAGTTTAAGGCTGGGTGCAGTGGCTCTCGCCTGTAATCCTAGCACTTCAGGAGGCCAAGGCAGGTGGATCACTTGAGGCCAGGAGTTCAAGACCAGCCTGGCAAAACCCATCTCTAAAATACTAAAAAAACAAAAATTAGCCAGCGTGGTGGCAAGCACCTGTAATGCCAGCTACTTGGGACGCTGAGGCAGGAGAATCGCTTGAACCCGGGAGGCAGAGGTTACAGTGAGCCAAGATAGAGCCACTGCACTCCAGCCTGGGTGACAGAGCAAGACTGACTCCAAACAAATAAATGGTTTAAACAAAAAACCAAAGGGATGACACTTCCTGATGTGTGGAACTTACATAAAATTCAAATCTCAGCATTTAGAAAAGAGCTTTGTTTTTTGGTTTTTTTTAACATATACGATCTCACTCTGTCGCCCAGGCTAGAGTGCAGTGGCGCAGTCTCGGCTCACTGCAACCTTGACTTCCCAGGCTCAAGCGATTCTCCCGCCTCAGCCTCCCAAGTAGCTGGGACTACAGGTGTGTGCCACCATGCCCAGCTAAATTTTGTATTTTTTTTAGAGACGGGGTTTTGCCATGTGGCCCAGGATGGTCTTGAACTCCTGAGCTCAAACAATCCACCCTCCTGGGCCTTACAAAGTGCTGGGCTTACAGGCCTGAACCACCGCCCCCAGCCCAACTGAGGTAGTCTGGGCATGCAGCCTCAGCCATTCACTCTCAGGCGACTTGACTTGCGCCAGCTTTATCAAGTGGCTGTCTGGCTGCAGAGCTGCCGGTATTTGCTATCTGGTGCTTTATGGGGCAGTTAGGTGACCTGACATTTATCAGGTCCCTGAGTGAGTACAGGGACACGTGGGGTCATGAAGAGGTGAGACAGGAAGGAGCAGGTACCTGGGACAGACAGGCACTCACCTGCCTCATGGCGCACCATGGGCTCCTGACGGGTGTCTTGCAGCACGGCCACCAGCACGGGGATGGCGCGGGCATCCTGCATCTGGCCCAGGCAGTAGGCCAGCTCGTGCTTGAGCAGGGCAGAATCGTCACCGAAGGCCTGGCTGATCCAGGCGATGGCATCCGGACCACCGAGCCCGCGCAGCGTGAACAGCGCCCGGAAGCGGGCGTGCAGGGGCTGTGTGGGGTCCACCAGCATCCGCCCAATGGCCTCCACCTCCTGCTCCGTCACCATCGTGCTGTCAGTGGGCCCCAGCCTTCCACAACCCAGGCTAAACCTGGGCACACGGTGGTGTAGGAATCTATGGCAGAAAAATGAGAGTCCAGGTTAGAGGCCCCCTTCGCCAGCTTGTTGGCTTGTTCCTAGGACCTGGGCAGGGCAACTTCCTACCCACTGACCCACCTGACCATCTGGGTTGGAAGCCCAGCTCCAACCCCACCTATTAGCTGTGCAGCCATCCATAAATTGCTTTCCCTCTCTGGGCTTAAGTCTGTGTACCACCTCTTGCCCATAGGCCTGTCAGAAATGACCGCCACTGTCAGCTTTCCACACAGCAGCCAGAGGGACAACTGACCCCCAAAATGGCCCCAGTGATCCCCACCTAATATTCATGCCTTTATGTAGCCCCCTCCCACTCTGAACACGGCTGACCTGTGTGAATGTCAAGAAGATAGAACACAGCGACACTTCCAAGGTTAGGGCATAAAAGGCACAACAGTCTCGTCCTTGCTGTCTCTCTAAGGGAAGTCAGTGGCCATGTTGTGAGGATGCTCAAGCAGCCTTTTGTAGGGGCCCACATGACAAAAAACTGAGCCCTCCCACCAACAGCCATGTGAGAGAAGTGGGCTGGCAGCAGCTCGTCCAGCCCCCGGCGAGCCTTCGGATGATGCAGCCCAGAGTGTCTCCACTGCGGCCTTACCAGAGGCCAGACCCAGAGCCAGCCAGGCCCGGGGCAGCAGTGTGCAACCGTGTTCAGTGTTGTTTGTTTCCCAGGTTCAAGCAGTTCTCCTGCCTCAGCCTCCTGAGTAGCTGGGATTATAGGCATGTGCCACCACACCCAGCTAATTTTTGTATTTTTAGTAGAGACCATGTTTCACTATGTTGTCCAGGCTGGTCTTGAACTCCTGACCTCGTGATCTGCCTGCCTCAGCCTCCCAAAGTGCTAGAACTACAGGCGTGAGCCACCACGCCCGGCTGTTGTTATAGTTGGGCTCTTTTTCTGAGACAGGATCTTGTTCTGTCACCAAGCTGGAGTACAGTAGTGTGATCACGGCTCCCTGGAGTCTGAAACTCCAAGTCTCAAGTGATTCTCCTGCCTCAGACTCCTTAGTGGCCAGGTCCACAGGCATACACCAGCATGCCCAGCTCATTTTTTTTTTTTTTTTTTTTAGAGATGGGATCTCACTTCTCACTATGTTGCCCAGGCTGGTCTCCAACTCCCAGGCTCCAGTGATCATCCTGCCACAGCCTCCCAAAGCATTGGGATTACAGGTATCAGCCACACCCCCAGCCATTGTGGGGGCTTTTGTTACCCAGCTTAAATAACGGAGTCAGAAGCGCTTTCAGTATGTAAACTGGACGATGTCGCTCCCTTGCTTAAGATCCTCCTGTGCCTCCTCACTAAACTCCTTGGCAGTCCCAAAGGCCCTTCATGGCCGCCTCCCATCACCTCTTCCCAGCCACACGGGCCTCCTCGCTGTTTCTCCAGCATTCCAGGTCCAGTCCAGCCCTAGGCCCTTGGCATTTGCTGTGCTCTCCATGAGGAATATTCTTCCCCAGATGTCCCCAAGTAGCAGGCCAGGCCAGGTCTCACTAACGCAGGCCTCCGTAACAACCGTTTCAGCAGTGACTGACTGGTTAAGTTAAACGTTAAAAGCTAAAAGAGGCTGGGCATGGTGTCCCACGCTTGTAATCCCAGCACTTTGGGAGGCTGAGGTGGGCGCATGACGAGATCAGGAGTTCGAGACCAGCCTGACCAACATGGTAAAACCCCGTCTCTGCTAAAAATACACAAATTAGCTGGGCATGGTGGCTCGTGCCTGTAATGCCAGCTACTCAGGAAACTGAGGCAGGAGAATTGCTTGAAACTAGGAGGCGGAGGTTGCAGTGAGCCGAGATTGCGCCACTGCACTCCAGCCTGGCCGACAGAGCGAGACTCCGTCTCAAAAAATAATAATAATTAAAAAATAAAACCTACAAGAGCCAGTGCTCTCATACAAAAGGCTGGAATGTAACAAAAACCCACCACGAGTTTTGCCCAGGCCTTTCCTGGGCCTTCAGGCATGTCAAGGAAGGAATCGGTGACAGTAGCAGCTGACACTTAGGTAGCATTTGCTGTGCACCAGGCACTCCAAGCCATTTACATTAATTCATTCGATCCACATCATTACGCTATGAGGTGGGTACTAAGATTATCCCCATTTTATAGGTGAGGAAACTGAGGCAGTTTGGGACTGTGCTTGGGAACAGCGTGAAGAGTTAGGAATCCAGGAAGTCTGGCTCCAGAGTCCGGCTCTAAACCACCAACACTTTGTTGAACGACTTAGGACGAAAGAACAGGATCAAGGCGGGGAGAAGGGAGCCCTCTCTGTCCTCCAGATGGGCTGAGAAGCTGGCGAATGCTTCATCTCAGGACAGGCAGGCTACGGCTTGCCGGCAGCCCTCTCTGGTTAACAGTGGCGTCAGCAAGGCTGCCTGGGCTTAAAGAGGGAGGTGTAGTCACCTAAGCACAGGTGATCATCAAAAGAGAGTGACACCTTGAAAGAGGGATCATCACTGACCTCAGGAGCCAGGACTTTGCGAGGTGGCAGGGCGATGGGGACCATCGAGACCCAACCGTACGACATAGGAGCTTGAGGTCGTGAGGCTGGCAGTATTTAATGTAAAACACCCCAGAGGAAAGAGATCACCGGGACTCGGGACCCCTTAACCCGCCCCATCCACAGCCAACGAATCCCTGAGACCGGATTCCAAACGAGGCGCTCGCGGTGCCCGCCCGCCCGCCAGACCCGGGCCCCGCACCGTGATCGCTGCCTCCGGGACGCCTCACCGAGCTCCGGAGACTCAGGGCCGCTCGGCCCGGCCCGTTCCCACAGGCGCCGCCGCGACCACCGCTTCACCAGCCGCCACACGCGCAGTGCGGTCTGGGGGCCGTCATTTTGCCGCTCACGTGACCGGGCCGGACGGCACCAGCGCAGCCCCGGGGGAGACCCAGTGTGAGGCTCCCGTGCAGGAGGGAGGTCCGGAAGCCCGAGTCGGTGCTGGTGTCACAGCTCACGCAAACACAGGAACGGAATTCTTAGTTCCTTCCTCGGGGAAGGAGACGGGCAACGCGTGTCCTTTCGTGGGAAAAAATTATCTCCGACCTCCCCACCGCGGTAAGAGAAGTGAGAATGGTTTGTGCCGATTCAGCGCTGAGCCTGAGCCGGCTAGCGACGGAGCATGCGCAGTGTCTCCAGGCGTGGTCAGACTGTAGAGGCGTGGCCAATGGGCTCAGGGAAAGGAATTAAGAAAGGAATGTGGTCGTTCACTCATTCATTTCTGTAACAAATAGTAAACGGATGTTGAGGGCAAGTCAGCCTGCAGCCCTTACCCTTGTACGCCTCACAGTGTTATTATAGAGGGAGACAGAAAATAATACGAGAAATAAATGCAATACCTATTAGATGGTGAAAAAGGCTCAAGATAAAGAGAAAACCCTCGGTAACCAAGGGCGGTGTATGTAAAGGGGGTGCAGCTTTAGAAACGGTGGCCAGAGTCTGAGGTGGTAACATTTGAAGAAAGACCTAAAGGGGCCAGGCGCGATGGCTCACGCTTGTAATCCCAACACTTTTGGAGGTCGAGGCAGGTGGATCACTTGAGGTCAGGAATTTGAAACCAGCCTGGCCAAGAAAGCGAAACCCCGTCTCTACTAAAAATACAAAAATTGGCCTGGTATGGTGGTGCGCACCTGTAATCCCAGCTACTCGGGAGGCTGAGGAAGGAGAATTGTTTGAACCCCGGAGGCGGAGGTTGTAATGAGCCAAGTTTGTGCCATTGCACTCCAGCCTGGGCGACAAGAGCAAAACTGTCTTAAAAAAAAAAAAAGGAAGTAAACAGAAGATGGGCAAGGTCAGAAGCAGAGAGACCGGAAGTAAGCAGGTGCCAGATTAATTTTGAAGGTGAAAGGATTTATAGACGGATTGGATGTGGGAATTTAGAAAAGCAATCCTGCCAAGGATGAGTGCCGCGTTCTTCTGAGAGGAGCAGCTGGAGAGGTGGACCCCACATTAATTGTTCTCACCTCCTCATCCTTTCCATCCACGGTCCGGTAAACTCTGCCTCTGAAATGGAGTCAGAATCCAATCAACTCGGCCGGGCGCGGTGGCTCACGCCTGTAATCCAAGCACTTTGGAGGCCAAGACGGGCGGATCACCTGAGGTCGGGAGTTCAAGAGCAGCCTGACCAATATGGTGAAACTCCGTCTTCATAAAAGAAAAAAGAAAAAAAAAAAAAAAATCCAATCAGCTCACTCATCTTTACTGTTCGAGTGGGGGTTGGGGTCCAAGCCCCCTCTACTTGTCACCGGAATGCTGTCTAGACAAGAAAAGCGGGCGCTTTTTATCTTTTTTATTTTTCTTCCTTTTCTTTTCCTTTTTAAAATGTTTTTAAATTATGTATTTATTTTTTAGAGACAAGGTCTCTCCCTGTCACCCAGGCTGGAGTTCAGTGGTGCAATGAATGGCCGTTGCAGCCTCAAAATCAAGCGATTCTCCAACTTCGGAGGCCCTAGTAGCTGGGATAGAGATGCATGCCACCACGCCTGATTTTTTTTTAATTTTTTTGACACAGAGTCTCACTCTGTGGCCCAGGGTGTAGTGCAGTGTCACCATCTTGGCTCACTGCAACCTCCGCGTCCGCCTCCCGAGTTCAAGAGAGTCTCCTGCCTCAGTCTCCCGAGTAGCTGGGATTACAGTCATGCGACACCACACCCAGCTAATTTTTGTATTTTTAGTAGAGATGGGGTTTTGCCATGTTGGCCAGGCTGGTCTTGAACTCTGGACCTCAGGTGATGCACCCCCCTCAGCTTCCCAAAGTGCTGGGATTACAGGTGTGAGTTACCATGCCCTGCTTGCAATCTCTCATTTTTATTTGTCTACTCTTTTTTTTTTTTTTTAGACAGAGTTTCACTCTTGTTACCCAGGCTGGAGTGCAATGGCACGATCTTGGCTCACCGCAACCTCCACCTCCTGGATTCAGACAATTCTCCTGCCTCAACCTCCTGAGTAGCTGGGATTACAGGCACGTGCCACCATGTCCAGCTAATGTTTTTGTATTTTTAGTAGAGACGGGATTTCACCATGTTGACCAGGATGGCCTCGATCTCTTGACCTCGTGATCCACCCGCCTCAGCCTCCCAAAGTGCTGGGATTACAGGCGTGAGCCACTGCGCCCGGCTGCAATCTCTCATTTTTTTTTTTTTTTTTTTT